CAAACTGAAAAAGAAAAACCATATGATTATCTCCCTAGATGCAGAAAAAGCCTTCGATAAAATTCAACACCCTTTCATGATAAAGGTATTAGAGAGGTCAGGGATAACAGGAACATACCTAAACATAATAAGAGCAATATACAGCAAACCAACTGCCAACATCAAACTGAATGGAGAGAAACTTAAGCCAATTCCTCTAAAATCAGGAACAAGACAAGGCTGTCCCTCTCTCTCCATATCTCTTCAATATCGTACTAGAAGTTCTAGCTAATGCTATAAGACAACAAAAGGAGATCAAGGGCATCCAAATTGGAAAGGAAGAAGTCAAACTGTCTCTATTTGCAGATGATATGATAGTTTACATAAGCGACCCAATAAACTCTACCAGGGAACTCCTACAGCTGATAAACACCTTCAGCAAACTAGCAGGATACAAGATAAACTCAAAAAAATCAGTAGCCCTATTTTTTTCAGACGACAAAGAGGCAGAGAAAGAAATCAGAGAAACATCACCCTTTACAATAGCCACAAGCAACATAAAGTATCTTGGTGTAACGCTTACCAAACAAGTAAAAGACCTATATAATAAGAACTTTGTGACTCTAAAGAAAGAAATAAAAGAAGATACCAGAAAATGGAAAGACCTCCCATGCTCTTGGATAGGTAGGATAAACATAGTAAAAATGGCAATCTTACCAAAAGCAATGTACAGATTCAATGCAATCCCCATTAAAATCCCACCACAATTCTTCACCGACCTTGAAAGGATAATAATCAACTTTATATGGAAAAACAAAAGACCCAGGATAGCCAAAACAACCCTATACAATAAAAGAACATCAGGAGGCATCACCATTCCTGACTTTAAGCTCTACTACAGAGCTATAGTTCTGAAAACAGCCTGGTATTGGCATAAAAATAGACAGGTAGACCAATGGAATCGAATTGAAAATCCTGATATTAATCCACACACCTATGAACACCTGATTTTCGACAAAACAGCTAAAATTATACAATGGGGCAAAGACAGCATCTTCAACAAATGGTGCTGGCACAATTGGATGAGGGTGTGTAGAAGACTGCAGATAGACCCATGTCTGTCGCCATGCACAAAACTCAAGTCCAAATGGATCAAAGACCTCAACATCAATCCAGCCACATTGAACCTCTTAGAAGAGAAAGTAGGAGGTACCCTTGAACAAACTGGTATAGGAGACTGCTTCTTGAACATAACTCCAGGGGCACAGACACTGAAAGAAACAATTAATAAATTGGACCTCTTCAAACTTAGAAGCTTCTGTAAGGCAAAGGACACAGTGAACAAGACCAAACGGCAGCCCACTGACTGGGAAAAGATTTTCACTAATCCTATATCCGACAAAGGGCTGATCTCCAAAATATACAAAGAACTCAAGAAACTAGTCAACAAAACACCAAATAACCCTATTAAAAAATGGGGTACAGACCTGAAGAAAGAATTCTCAATGGAGGAAATCAAAAAGGCTGAAAGACACTTAAGAAAATGCTCCACATCCTTAGCTATCAGGGAAATGCAAATCAAAACAACTTTGAGATACCATCTTACCCCTGCCAGAATGGCGAAAATTAGAAACACCAGTGATGACTTATGTTGGAGAGGATGTGGAGAAAGGGGAACACTCCTCCACTGCTGGTGGGAGTGCAAACTCATACAGCCACTTTGGAGATCAGTATGGCGGTTCCTCAGGAAAATGGGAATTAGTTTACCACAGGACCCGGCAATCCCCCTCTTAGGCATATACCCAAAGGATTCACATCCATGCAACAAAGACATCTGTTCAACTATGTTCATAGCAGCACTATTTGTAATAGCAAGAACCTGGAAGCAACCTAGATGCCCTTCAATTGAAGAATGGTTAATGAAGATGTGGCACATCTACACAATGGAATACTACTCTGCAGAAAAAAATAATGGTATCTTGAAATTCGCAGGCAAGTGGATGGCACTTGAAGAAACCATCCTGAATGAGGTAACCCAGTCACAAAAAGAGGAACACAGTATGTATTCACTCATATATGGATTTTAGACCTAGATCAAATGATCACCAGCCTATAATTCACATCACCAGAGGAACTAGAATACAAGTTGTATTCTAAGAGATTCATATAAAGTCCCTCACAGAACTGGGAAGGGACAAGTCCCCCAGACCTCAGGTATAGTGGGGGAGGACAGCTAATGGAGAGAGAAGTAGGAGAAAATGAGAGGGAGGAGAGGAAGGCATGTGCGACCAGGAGGATTGAGCCTGGTTAGGAATGGAAAATAGGAAAGAGAGAGAGAGACAGAGACAGAGAGAGAGAACATAAAAGAGGGAGCCAATATTGGTTTGAAGATAAAGTTGAACACAAAGAAAGGTCGAGGGAACTACAAGACTGCTCCCAACTAACAATCTCAGCTTCCGTGGAAAGGTATCATAAATGCCCTTCCTGGAGAGTGAGATCAACAACTAACTTCTCCATGGAGTCCTCAACTAATGCCTGTTGAAAACAGGAGCAAACACCCATACATAAACACTGAGTCAAACTAGAACCCAGAAGCAGATGGAGAGGACAAGACCATGCGGTAGAAGTACATAGAGACAGCTTACCTGAACAAGGAGGAGCTAAGGGCCACTAGACTGATAGCTGGGAAGCCAACAGGGGTCTGACTCGGACCCCCCTGAATATGGGTCTCAGCCAGAAGGTCTGAGCAGTCTAAGAGACCTCACACAGTGGAGCCAGGATGTATCCCTGGGGCACAAAAGGACTTTGCAAACATATCCCCCATGGAGGGATAACTGCCTTATTCTAGAGATAGGAGAGAAGCCCTAGTCCCTACTTCACAGGACCTGTCAGATCTACATGACCCCAACTGGATGTCATTCCCCTAGGTATTGTATTGTGGTGGGGGGTTGGGAGGGGAGGGTGTTTAGAGTGCATGGGAGAGGGTAGAGAGGGCAAAAGGGAGGGAAGGAGGGAGGGAGGGCTTGGGGGGAGGGAGGGAGGGAGGGAGAGGGAACTGGGATCGACATGTAAAATAATAAAAAAAAAAAAAAAAAAAAAAAAAAAAAAAACGCTTTGACTCCAAAATTTAAGTTGAAGAACAAGTTACTGGGGAAAAGTATTTCTATTTTTGTTTCCACAGAAAATGAAAAGATGTGGATTCCTTCCAGACTAATGTGGTTTGATCACACCAGACCGCCTGAAACAGAGTACAAGCTGATCCTACATTCCAAACAGCTGGACAAAACAGCCCTACAGACTACAGCTAGGATATCTGAATCTTCTTCGAATCCCCCAATACAGCGCCCCTTACCAGCAGGAAGTAGTTTGGAAAGAACGACGCCCAAATTCCCAAAAATTGTGTAAAAATGTTTTTTTTCAATTAAATTGAATTTTTTTAAAAAAAAAAAAAAAAAAAAAATTTTTTATGCATAAAAAAATGGAGTAAAGGGAGTGGTGACTGCAGCAGGAGATCACACCCAGATAAGTTTCTAACTTGTGAAAAGAAATTAAAGAAAGACATATAGCTGGGTGTTGTGGTGCACACCTTTAAACTCAGAACTCCATAGGCAGAGGCTGTCGGATCTCTGAGTTTGACGTTATCCTGGTATACTGACCCCATTTTCGTACCACCAAGCTCACACAGTGGAGGAAACCACTGAAAATAGAAAGTTGTTGAAGATATAATTGGAAAAGGGGGCCATGTTCCAGCCTCAGCAAGTAGCAGCACTTGGCAGCTTTTGCCATCTTGTTCTTAATTTAAAGAGAGAAGAAAGAGATTGTGGAAAATTTCTCCAAGGCCAAGGAACAGGACTGAGGCCAAATATATGTTAGTGGTGTCTTTTAATGGAGGCTGAGAGTTCATTGTGTGAAGATGTGAAGGTGAAGCCTGAACTCCTTTGTAAACCTCAAGATGTTGGAGATGCCAGAGCCATGGGATACCTGCTGAGGAGAGGAGACTGGGACCAGCTCAGGAGATAGAAGTGTGTTACTGTCAACAAAGGTAAGAGGAGTTGAAGTTCTGAAGAGTGTTTAGACATCAGACATGTTGATACAGCTTTTGGAATTCCCCAGCTTGTTTCTGGTTTTGTTTAGGTCCAGTATTTCACTATGATCCCTTCCCTATATTATGGAATGTTAACGTTGGAAGTATGTGATATATTTTTGACTTAGTCAGGGACTACAGTTAAGAATTCACATTAATCTCAGAAGAGATTTTGAACTTTGGCCTTTTAAACATAGTTGAGACTGATATGTTATGGAGACTTTTGAAGTTGCACTGAATGTATTTTGCATTATGATATTATTACAAAATTAGGGGTGCTAGAATATGGAATGTGGTAGTTTGAACTTAATTCGTCCCCATAATCTCATAGGCAATGCTACTATTAGGAGGTTTGGCTTTGTTGTGTGGCCTTGTTTGAGGAAATGTGTTGTAGTGGGGTTGGGCTTTGAGGTCTCCTTTGATTGAGCTCTGTATGACACCCTGTTCATTTTCCATTGCCTTTGGATCAAGATGTAGAATTTTTAACTTCTACAGCACTATGTCTGCTGCTTGCCACCATGATGATATGGGACTAAACTTCTGAAATGTAAGCCACAATAATTAAATGTTTTCCTTTATAAGAATTGCCATGATCATGGTGTCGCTTCACAGCATTACAAAATTAATGAAGACAAAATTGAAAATTAGTTAAAATTTAATACAATATGCAGAATTCTAAGATGAAGAAGAGATGCTGCAGTAATCTTCTAAAGAAATATCCAAGGGAAAATATTAAGTTCAATGGTTCTGAAACAATGGGACAAAAATGTATTTCATGAGCCAGGCAACATATTATTTCAAATAGCAGTGTTATTGATTCTTTTAACTTTATAATGGCACTTATCTTTCCCTTTCTCCTAAAGGGCTCTTTGAAAGCTATATAATTATGGTAGAAAGAAGACAATCTGTTGATTATTTTGATGCAGTATGTTCTTACTTGTCATGTTTGAAATTTCATTTTCTGGACAAGGGTAACAAACAAAACAGCAGATAGCTTTTCCCTCCTGAGGGGATTTTCTGAGGCCAGGAATGCAAGGCTTACTGCATATCGAGGGTGGATTCTGTAGAAAATATGATAAATTTTAGAAATAAAGAGTTAACAGATGACAAAGGCAGCAGTGATTCATAGTATGGAGTTACTCAAAAATCTCCTTGTATACACATGTATCATATTATGAAGCATACTTTCAAGAAGTCCGTATGCCTCTCTTTTTCTTTCAGACCCAGTTCCTGTATCTTCTCCATGGTGCTGTACCAGAAATCCAGTTGTAATTTTCTCTCCCACTACCCATCATTTCCTAACCCCCCTTTCTTCAACCATCCCTGTATTTTGGCCCTAATTCTAGCAGTGATGCCCTGCTAAGACAGAAAAATGGGTACACTTCTCACCTCTTTTGTCTCTCTGTTCCCTTAGACACAGTCGTGCAGTCTTGTTCCTAGTTCCACAATAGAATGTCATTTGCAGCCTTTCCTCATTTATGCCCACATCTCCTGTGTATTGAAAATAGCATCCTCTCCTGAACCCCATCCCCAATTCATTTCTGAATCCCAGCCCCTAACTCTAGTAGGCATCCTCTTCTAATCGAAGGGCCACCTATCCCAGGTCAACAACAAGTTTGAGGACAGACCCACACCTCTTCTAGTGCTCCTAAGATATAACCTTTTAGTGTCTCCAAGATCTGTAGCTGGAAACTGCTAGAATCTCTTTTTTTCTCTCTGATTCCATCTTCCTCAATGGACTACAAAGACCTTCTCCTCCAACCTTCCTTTTCTTAACTCATGCTGATCACCCAACCTCAAATAACATTTGAGTATTTCCTGTGAATAAAGTGGCTAAACAGGCCAGGACAATCATCAACTCACAGACATCACAGTCTGAACATCCAGAGAGGAAACAAAAACCAAGATGCAAAACACACAGCCAAAAAAGAAAAATCCAAACAGCAGCACCAAGAAATTGAATCATTTAAAACTAAGATCCCAGGATACAAGCATGAAAATCCATTGAACACACACACACACACACACACACACACACACACACACACACACACACACACACACAGAGTATGTATTCCTTGAATCCCAGCTATCGTACCTTAGCAGGTCCTGAATATCTAAACATAGCTGAAGCTTACGAAAAATACCTTATAACAGCCTTTTTGAATAGAATGGTGGTCCCTAAGTAGGAAATTAATGAATTCCTTAAAGAAACACAGGCAATAATTTTATTGGCATCTTGTCTTGCCAGAGTACATGTAGTGGTGACCCTACCCTTTGGGTGTGGTTTTGGGTTCAGATGTGACTCATTATAAGGTAGAGGAGGAGCTGGCTTGGGCACTGTTGGGTTGCAGAGAGCACTGTAAGGGCAGAGACTGCATCTTCTGGGGCAGGAAGCCCGCCGAGGTCATTTAGTCTTATCTGTGTGTTTCACTAGTAAATATCTGTTTATCATTTATCTTGGGTCTGGTAGACTCATTTAAACCTCACCTTCCAAGCAGTGTAAGGAGATATACAAAAATGTTCAATACTTGAAGCTGGAAATAGAATTAATAAAGGTTACCCAAACTGAAGGAATTCTGGAAATGAAAATTTTAGGAACTTGACATGCACTAGAGAAGGAACTCTCCACAAATATGGGTGAGAGCATATGAGGCATTAAAGATATGATAGAAGAACTAGGTACATATGTGAACGAAATTGTTACATCCAAAACATAGCATATCCTGATATAAAACATCCAATGAATCAGGGACATTATAGAAAGATCAACCCTGCCATTAATATTATAATTAATCTATTATTAATTAGTGAAGAGGAAGGAGGAAAATCCTGGCTCAAGGTCCCCGAAAATATTTTCTAAAAAATCATAGAGGGAAATTTTTCTAATGTAAAGAAACCGATTACTCTAAAGATACATACAGAACACCAGAACCAGAAAAAAAATGTGTCTTTGCCACATAACAGTAAAAACATCAAGGACATAAAATAAGGAATGAATATTAAAATTGGCAAGGAAAAGATTAATTATCATATAAAGGCAGGCCTGTAAAATTATTCCAAACTTCTCATCTCAGTGAAGGCTCTGGAGGCCTGAATGGCCCCGTCAGATAACCTGTAGACTCTAAGAGATCACATATACATGCCCAGACTACTCTACCCTACAGAAATATTTTCACTCACCATCAGTGGGAACACAATATATTTCATGATAGAATAAAATGTAAATAATATCTATCTGCAATTTTACTTGTGCAGAAGGTGTCAGGAGGAATATATCCAGACCAAGGAGTTTAACAATGCACATAAAATCATAGAAAATAATTTAACTCCCCCCAAAAATAAAAAGAATGGAAACAAATACACATGCACCCCTCACAAGCACATACACACATGCATAACCACACTATGGCACCGCTTCTCCCCAGAAGAAAAATAACATGACTATTCAATCATTGGTACTTGATATCTCAATATCAACGATCAACGGTCTCAATATCCCAATAAAAAGCCACAGACTAACAAATTGGCCATATAAACAGGATCCAGACTTCTGATTCATCAAAGAAACATCCATCAACATTGAGAATAAATAAATAAAAAACCTCAGGATGAGGAGTTGGAAAAAGACAACTCAAGAAAATATACCTATATAGTAAGAGGCCAGTTTTGACTACACCCATCTCAAAAAGACAAAACCAACTAACTTATCCATGGAGCCCTATCTAATACCTGTTGGAAACAGGAGCAAACACCTGAGTTGAACTAGAACCCAGATGCAGATAGAGAGGACAAGGCCAGGTGGCAGAAACACATAGAGACAGCTGACTTGAACAAGGAGGAGCTAATGGGCCTCCAGACTGATAGCTGGGAATACAGCATGGGACTGACTCAGCCCTCCCTGAATATGGGTCTCAGCCAGAAGGACTGAGCAGTCTAAGGGACCTCAGACAGTGGAAGCAGGATGTATCCCTGGTGCACAAAAGGACCTTGGAAACACATCCCCCATGGAGGGATACTGCCTTAAACTAGAGACAGGAGAGAAGTCCTAGTCCCTACTTCAAATGACCTGTCAGATATACATGACCCTACCTGGATGGCATTGCCCTACATGTGCAATTGGGGTGGGGGGATGGGAGGGGAAGGTGGTCAGGGTGCATGTGAGGGGGCAGAGAGGGTAAAAGGGAGGGAGGGAAGGAGGGATGAAGGGAGAAAGGGAGGGAGAGGGAACTGGGATCGACATGTAAATAAAGAAAAGAAAAAGAAAATATACATAACAGTCAAGCTTGAGTGGTCATTTTAATCTCTCATGAATCAAGCTTCAAACAAAAACTAAGCAAAAGAGATTGGGGAAATACTACACACTGAATAAAGGGAAAAAACCTACCAAGTTGATATTTTAATTCTTAACATCTATGCCACAAACACAAAGGTATCTGCGTTTGTAAGAGAACCAACACTACATTTAAAATACACATTGATCCTCTGTGATTGATAGTGGGAGACTTCACCAGTGCATCTCACCAATGAATGGTTCATTTAGACAATATTTAAATAGTGAAATACTGATGCTAACAGACATTGTAAACCAAATGAACCTAAGTGTTATTTAAAGAACATTTTATCCTAATTTAAAAGAATACTTCTGTACTCTGAACCTCATGGAACTTTCTTCAAAATTGTCCACGTACTCAGATACAAAACAAGTCTCAACAGACAGAAGTAATTAATTCCATGTATTCTATCAGACTACCACATATAAAAGCTGAATATCAACAACAATAACAAAAAATAGAAGTCATGGAAACTGAACAACTTTACTGAATAAAAATTGAGTTAAGACAGAAATCAGGAAAGAAATTGGAGGTTTTTCTAGAGTCCAATGAAATTGAATACATAACAACCCCAAATTTATGTGGGGCCACGAGGAAAGTTCCTAGTACTAAGTCCTTCATAAATAAATCTCAGCATCTCATAGTACCGACTTAACAGTACCCCTGAAAACCCTATAACAATGATATATAATCACAACCCTGAGTATTAGATGGCAAGAGATAGTCAAATGAATGCTGAAATCTATAAAATAGAAACAGAACAATACAAAGAATCAATGAAACAAAAAGGTGGTTTGATGAGAAAATCAATAAGACAAACAAACCATTATCCAATCTAACTAATCTTCAGAGACAGAATAATCAAATTAATGAAATGGAAAAATAACTAATGGAAATATCAACAGACACTGGGTAAATTCAGAAAATCACAAGTGCATACTTTGAAAACTGTACTTCAGAGTCCATACTGTAAAAATGTGTAGTCCACTAAATTGTAAAATGTAAAGTAAATGGCCAGTTACCTCTTAACAGGTACAGTTTACTAAAGTTAAATTAAGAGCAGTAACAATTTAAACAGACTTATATGGCCCAGTGAAATAGAAGCAGTCAATTAAATTATTTCAATCAAAAAGGAGAAAAACCCAAACTAACAAATCAAACACCACATAAAAGCCCAACCAATAAAGAACTTCAACAAACAAACAAAAGATAACAAGCTAACAAACAAATTAATGGCTGCTTGGTTTTAGCACAGAATTATACTTGTCTTTCAAAGAAGGGTTAACTCTAATATTCACCAAATTATCTACAAATTTGGAAAGGAAGGAACATTGCCTATTTCTTTTTATGAGGCAACCTTGGTATTAATACCAAATAAACACTCAATAAAGAAATTTTATTACAGACCAATTTCCAAAATATCTTAATAAAATGAATGCAAATGAAACAAATCTGAGAACACATCAAAAAAGATTATCCACCATCACCAAGTAGGTTTCATCCATGGGATGCAGGAAGAGTTAACATAGGGAAATGAGTGAATGTAATTCACTATATGAATAAACTGAAAGGAAAAGTCATGGTTATCTCATTCCATCCAGAAAAGGACTCTGAAAAAAACTGAACATTCCTTCAGTACAAAATGCCTGAAGATATTAGGGATACATGGAACAAACCTAAACACAATAATGGTAATTTATAGCAAGCCTATAGCCAACATTAAAATAAAAAGAAAGAAACTGAAAGCTCTTCCACTAAAAATCAATTATAAGACAAAACTATCCCTTCTCTCCAATCTATCACATACAGTACTTGAAGTTTTAGCTAAAACAGACAATTGAAATAAATCAAGGTGATATAAAGTACCATTATTTGCAATGGGTATGATAGTATACCTAAATGACATTTAAAAAAAATTACCAGGGAATTGTTACAGCCCCTAAACATTTTCCACATGTGGCTAGAAACAATCTTAACAAAAAACAAAGTAAAACAAAACATTAAAAAAAAAGAAAGAAAAAGAAAAAGAAACAACCAATATACTTTCTGTGTACAAATGACAATCAGAAAGAAGTTGGGAAAACATCACCTTTCAAAATATCCTCAAATTATATAAAATATTGAGTAACTCTAAACAGGCAAGGAGAATACTTCTATGACAAAAGCTTCTATTTTTGGAGAAAGTAATTAAACAAAAAATCAGAAGATGGAAAGATCTCCCATGCTTATGGATTGTTAGGATTAGCATAGTAAAAGTGGCCATTTTACAACAGCAACCTACAGAGTCAATGTAATCCCCATAAAAAATTTAACATAATTCTTTTCAGACCTTTAAAGGGCAATTCTCAGTTTCATATGGACAAAAAAAGTAATAACCTGAAGAAAGATAAAATAAACCTGAACAGTAAAAGAGATGCTTCAAGTTTCACCGTCCTTAATTTCACATTATGCTAAAGCACTATAATAATTAAAGCTTCATGTTATCTCCTTATATCCAGGCATGATGATTAATGGAATTTAATTGAAGACCAAACATAAGTTCTTACACATATGTAGATTGGATTTTTTAATAGAGAGCACAGAAACACAGACTAGGGGAAAGATAGCATTTTCAGCAATGGCTCTGGTCAAACTGAATGTCTTCATGTTGCAGAAGGAAGATAGATCCATGTTTATTACTCTGGGCAAAACTCAAGTCTAAGTGCATCAAAGACCTCAACATAAAACCTGATAAAATGCATCTGATAGAAAGGAAAGTATGGAGTAGTCTTGAACACATTGACACATGAGATGACTTTCTGAAGAGAACACTGATAATGCAGTCACTAAGACTGACAATAAATGGAATTTTATAAAACAGAAATTTATGTAAGGCAATGCATATTATCAACTGGATAAAGAGGTGTCAAGAGAATGAATTTTTTTTTTGCTAACTTCATATCTGATAAAGAACTAATATCTAAAATAAGGAAGGAACTTAAGAAAATCAAATAATAAATTAATAAAAAGACAATCTAATTTAAAAATGGTGAACAGACCTAAACATGGAATTCTCAATAAAGAATCTAAAATTGCTGAGAAATATTTAGAGAAATGTTCAACATTCTGAGTCATCTGGAAAGCTCCAATCAAAACTAATTTGAGTCAGGATAGATCCAATCAAAACTACTTTGAGATCCATCCTATACCTCTCAGATTTGCTAAGTTTAATAGCACAAGTGATAGTCCATGCTGGTGAGGAAGGGGAAAAATTCTCCATTGTTGGTGGAAATGTTATTTGTACATCCAGAATGGAAATAAAAATGACAGTTTCTCAGAAAGATGAAAACAAGTCTGTGTCTAGACCCAGTTATACTATTTTTAGACATATGCCCAAAGGAATCCCTTACTACCTCAAGGACAATTGAACAACTTTGTTCACTAAAGCTTTTTTCATGATAGACAAACACTAGAAGCAACCTATATATCCCTCAATAGAAGAATGAATAATGAAATGTTGTATACATACACAGTGAAATACTACTCAGGTGTTACATGAAATGATTTTATGAAATTTGCAGGCAAATGGATGGAACTACACATATATCTTTCTGAGTGTTGTAACCTAGACCTAGAAAGATAAATAAGGCACATATTTTCTTATAAGGGAGTATTAATTTTTAAGTAAATATTAACCAAGCAATATTCTATAGAGCCAGAGAAGTTAAGTAAAGAGCTAACATGGGAGGCACAGGGATCTTCATATGAGTGGGAAGTAGATTAGATTTTATTTGTAGGCTGGGACCAGGTGGGAATAAGAGAGGGGAATTAGGTAGGGGGAATAAGATGGAGAAAGTTCTTGAATAGACACCCAGAATGTGGGGCTTTTGGGGGTTGTTGGGGAAACCTATAGCAATGGAGACTTCCTGGAATCTGTGAAGCCAATCATAATAGGCACTCTTAATAATGAGGGATAAAGATTCTCAAATAGCTATCTTTTGTAGTGACGCTAGGCTTCCAATTGTGGAACTAGGTTTTATTCAATTGAATTGTAGGCCAAGTGGGTCCCATGGAAATCTCTAACATCCAAAGCAGCAGCAAACTGTTGCTCTCTGCAAACTGACAGTGGGATCCCCTGAAGAGAATAATATCCACTTAATGCATTGAATATGGAGAAGTCAAACTGGGGCCTGCATGGAGCCCTCATCCCTACATTCTAGTATCTTTGCTGCCCAAAGTTAGTGTTCAGGCTACTAAAAGATAAATTGGACATCACCTCAGTCACAAATTCTTTGACCTAAAAGCTGTCCTACTTACAAAATATCCTAGAGTCATGGTGACACAGAACTCATAGGAGAAGGCAGCCTATGTCTGATTTAGCCTTTAGCCCACTCCATGAGAAGAAATTCAGACCCAATAGAGCTTGGGTAACCATCAGCCCGAGCCTCAATAGCTCAGGGACCAATACTAATTAGTTTTAAAAAATTCATGATTCTCAATTATGTTTTGCTATATTCACAGATCAGTGCCTTAACCAGTTATCATCAGAGAAGCTTCCTCTGGCAGGAAATAGGAACAAGCACTGAAAGTCACAGTCAGGTATTATGGGGAGAGTCTAAGTTGAAGGTCTCCATCAAATACCTCCATTTTGAGTTCAAGGAATCCTGCAGAAGTAGAGGTAGAAAAATTGAACATTCAGAGGAAAACATGGGCCTCTGAATCAACAAAGCAAGGCACATATGAGCTCACATGGAAGAAGCAAGCATATGGCCTACATGTATGTGTCTGTAACCAGTCCTCTGCATATATACTAAAACATTAGGTTAGAGTTTATGTGAGACTCTTGACTATAAGAGTAAGTAGGTCTCTGACTCTTGTGTATACTCATGGGACTCTTTCTTCCTAATTTTGCCATGTCTAATTCAGTATTTTTCCTTCATTTTATTATATTTTAATTTGTCATATCTAAGAATCCTGTTATCTTTTTACTGAGAGACAGAGAGGGAGAGATAGAGAAAGACATGGAGGGAGGGAGGAAGAGATGGAGGGAGAGAGGTAGAAAGAGAGGGAGAGAGAGAATCTATGAGGGTAGAAAGATAAGGCATGTCTTGCTGTATGCTGTGAATATATGTTTTTGTTATTTGTTGATAAATAAAGCTGTTTTAGCTAATGGACAGGCAGGATTTATCCAGGAGTGAAATCCAAACAGAAATAGAGAAAGTTAGTGAGCAGAGTCAGGGAGACACCATGTAGCTGCCAAAGAAGCAAGAGACACAGGCATCACGGAAAAGCCAAGAACATGTGGAAATACACAGAGTAGTAGAAACAGGTTAATCATTAAGAGAGAGATAGCCAATAAGTAGCCTAAGCAATCAGCCAAAATGTTTATAATTAATATAAGACTCTATAGGTTTATTTGGGACTAAATGGCTCTGAGTCTGGTTGGGACAGAAACTTCCATCTATAGTAGAAATTGAGTCAGTAAATGAATAAATGTTAGAGTACTTTATCCCAAGAGGAGGAATAAGCAGATCATGTGATTTTAGGTATTTATGCTACATGTAAAGCATTAGAATTAAGACCAAATTACCTGTCTAATATTTGTAGCCCACTCTATCATTTCATCAGACATATACAATTGTTGATAAGTTGGAAAACGTCTGGAAAACTTTCCTATTTTCACCTTAAGTCCAAAAGTTTGAGAAAAATCCATGATGTAGAAAATTTCATACTCTGTATCCAGTTTTACGTTCGGGTTCATGTTCACAAGGTCTCCAGCAGGATTTACAAATTGTATGGTCTTCAGAAAAGAAAACATCTAAAACACATTTGTCACTTTGGTTTACACTATGCCTACTCGTACGTTTACAAAAAATATAATGCCTCAAATTTACATTGACCTCTCCTAAAATATAACAATACAAGTAGATGTAAAGATTCACTATGCTTTAAAAATACACTTTTCTTGCTGGATTTGATGCCTTAACACATGACCACCTAAATTGCACACCTGAAGAGTATTGACACATTCTCTACTTCTTTCTATTATCAGTGTTAATTGATATTAACCCAGGGAATTGAGATCCTTAAATGGTCAAAATGTGGCAAGGCTACTTGGTATTATTTTGGGTCTCTTTATTATTGATTAGCAAATTTTTGATCACATGAAAGATAAATGTTTTCTTCTTAGTCCCATTTATTAATTTCATGAGAAATTATTTTCTCCAAATTTTAAAAACATGAGACACGTGTGGTTTAAACAAAATTTGTTGACTTGGATTATAAAATGCTGACTTAGGTGTCAGTGTTGACTGATTGCCAATTTATGACATGAACATGACATCCCTGATCTTCAGTACTATTCAGTACTATTGTACAACAACACATATACATATATAGAAAAGATTCCTTATTTACATAGATTTGGACCTTATGGTTCCCTTTAAGAACTTCATCTCTATGACATTCATGCATTCAGTGTAAGACACATTACCTTCCAGGTATCAAATTCCAGTTCCTTCCCAGTGTTCTTTGACCATGTGTCTACTTGTTGTAGAAGCATTTCATGGAGTGAGTAGGCAACAGCATAAACTGCATTATATAAGTTATAAGTTGTGTCACTAAAGGAAATGTCAAATGGTTTCCCAAATATCCATTTCAATATGTTTTTTTCAGGACAATTCTTCAGTTTGTTACAATTAGATGCTGGCAAAGAACATTTAAAGTAAGACCACCATAGTTTTGCAAGAGAAATTTCATTACTGTCATTTAAAGGTTGCACTGTCTGCAGAAATTTTTTAAAACCAGACACCTCAGAATGCTGATGTGAAAAAATGAGAGCCCCATCAGGGGAGCCTAGCATAAAATCTCCTGTTATTGTGATCATATCAAATTGTGACACACTAACCCAGATTCTCCAAAGTTCTTGAGATTTCCATAGGATGAAGTTCAATGGTATATAAGATTCTTTGTCTCCATAAACTATCACAACTTTTGCTGATGACATCTTGATCTGGTTATAATTCTTATTAAACATTTTTAAGTATAATTCTGTATTTATTGAGATAACAATCACGAATTCTAAACAGACAATGTTTGTTTGCATCTCTTCTCTCCATTCAGAAAGAAATTGCATTCCATGGTCATCATCTGAAATAATCATTGCCACCCAGTTCCATCTGAAGTAAAGCATTAGAGACACCATGGCCAGTGCTAGTGATGTGTCCCTGGGAGATATCTGGTAGAGATGAGGAAATTGTTCGTGGTCACTCAGAAGTGATTGAAAATGACCATAGTAAAGCTGAAGGACATAGAACATAAACAATATTATGAAGAATATTGAATGCATAACGCTCAGTTTAAGCTGTAAGTGTGCTAACCAAATGCTTGGAAAGTTAGAAAGTATAAATTATTCATCTGATTTTTAAAATAATACCTAACTTCTTGTAATTATCTAAACTATATAGATAAACTAAGTTTTCATGTAAAAAGTTTTACATGAAAGTTTCTGCACTCTCTCATACCCATTTCTGATAAAGTTGTGTTTCCCACAGAAGGATTTTGAATATTTATACTTTATGAATCAGAATAAACATAAAGCCAGTCTCTGCCTTTTAATCTCCTTTGGTATCAGAAGGTCAGCTTGAAGCTAAAAAATACTTCATTAAAATAATCCACCCAGGCTTACCTCTGGAGTTCTGGAGATGAAGAAGAGTGATCTAAACATGGCAGATATCCTCCACAATGGTCCTGTAAGCACAATTAAGTATCTTCTCTGGTTCATACAGTAGTAGTTAGGAAAATGTTCACTACTCTTTGAGGAAAAACCAGTTTTACGGTAATCAACAAGCAGATTACATTTAACATTAACTAGCAGAGAAATGTTGGGTAAAATATGAGGGTTCCTGTTGATTTCTTCCATGGCAAAATAAAGAGAAAAAATCAAGTGGATATTCCTAGGTGTCAACCTGAAAACAAAGTACACTACTCATGAGAAATTAGTTCCAAACCTGATAGTAATCTTAATCACACTTGGTATGGCTTCAGCACCAAAGTCTGTTTTTTTTTGACCCATTGCTATGATGACACATATAAGTTCTATTCTTGTGGTGGATTAGAATGTGAGATATGTGGAAGAATATAAGGGTCCTTAAAGTTTTTAAATTTTTGTTTCTTGGGGGTGCGGATATCTATTTTCTGTTAATGGTGTTCTGTCATTTTGAAGTTTCCTCCAATTTATCCTGTGTTCTGTAAACACTGGGAAAGTATGTAAGTAGTCCATGGTACAGGAAAGATGCCCTGCTCAACAGTGAATTTCCTCATACATTTATACTGTAATTCTAATATCTAACATATTTAGAGAACAAATTGGTATTTGCTATCTAGGTAGTTATACTTTTTTTACACAGAGGCAGTCTGGCCAATGTCATGACATTGATATGGCTATGAAGAACATGTAGTTAAATCTTTCTGTGTCAAAAAACTGAAAATTCTATTAGATTTATAAGTAATGCAAATTACATAATCACTACTACTTTTTATCCTTGCTTTCACACAGTTTCATTTTTATTTTTATTCAAGGCTATGAAATATTGAATGATATAAGATTGATTTTATATACAACTTTTTCCTGAGAGGAATTATCTCCTTTAACTTCACATGGACCCTTAGGTTGTACTGATGCATTTCATATTGTACACTCAGCTGGGTATCACAGAACTGACCCTGGGTTCTAGTAGGTTCATATTTGTCCTGAAATATCATAATTATCTAGTATATTCACCTTAGGTTTTATCTTTCACTTAATATATTTCAAGTGGTTATAACTGCTTTGCAATAATTTTATACTATTTGATAATCTTATTTAAAAATAACATTTCATCATTTTGTACATGGGCTTTTGTTTGCCTGACATCCTATATTTTCTGTACTGCTTTGTGACCACAGTCCATATTAAATAACTGGATATGGGAGGGGAGGGTGTTTAGAGTGCATGGGAGAGGGTAGAGAGGGCAAAAGGGAGGGAAGGAGGGAGGGAGGGCTTGGGGGGAGGGAGGGAGGGAGGGAGAGGGAACTGGGATCGACATGTAAAATAAAAAAAACAAAAAAACAAAAAAAAAAAAAAAACGCTTTGACTCCAAAATTTAAGTTGAAGAACAAGTTACTGGGGAAAAGTATTTCTATTTTTGTTTCCACAGAAAATGAAAAGATGTGGATTCCTTCCAGACTAATGTGGTTTGATCACACCAGACCGCCTGAAACAGAGTACAAGCTGATCCTACATTCCAAACAGCTGGACAAAACAGCCCTACAGACTACAGCTAGGATATCTGAATCTTCTTCGAATCCCCCAATACAGCGCCCCTTACCAGCAGGAAGTAGTTTGGAAAGAACGACGCCCAAATTCCCAAATATTGTGTATAAATGTTTGTTTTCATTTAATTGGACTTTGTTATATAAAATTAAATAAAAAATACTCTATATGCATAAAAAAAAAATAAGTTATGTCTGTGACTATGGTATTGAATTGCTAAACCATTTATGTTCCCTTCACTTTTCTGCTTCTCATACTTGAATAACTTTTTTTTTGCTGTGTCTTATTACTCATCTCTTACAATTTTTCTTTTTTCAGAAAGACTTGAAGTTATTCCACATTTTTTTAGATCCTGGCCATTCTATACTGGAGATGGCATCTGTTGTTAAAATTGGGTACTTCAATTAACTTACTGAAATTATTCTTCTGTGAAAGTTTAATATGTCAAATAACATTGTGCATTGTTTTTACATTAGCTGTTTTACAACCTGAGACAATATTCAGCTTCATATGGAAGTAGAGGAAAAATCCAGGAGAGATTAAACATTCCTAAATAATGTGATAACTACTGGGGATATCACTATTCCTTATTATACATTTTGTACATAGCTGTTGAAATAGCAATGCCATGATATTTTCACAAAATAGATATGGTGATCAATAGAATGGAATTGAAGATCCCTACAGAAACCCATAGTTTTAGATAAAGAACCTAGAAATAGAGACTGTGAAAAACAGAATGCATCTTCAATAAGTAGTGCTGGCTAAACTGGATAGCTGCATGGAGGATACTAATACATCTATATCTATCATCCTTAAAAAATTAATTCTAAGTGGGTAGAAGGCCTCAACTTAAGAGCATGTATACTAAATCTGATGAAATAGAAATTAGAGGAATAGTCTTGAATTTATTGATATGATAGGGGATGTCCTTCTGTATGTTGTGAAAATATATTTCTTTTGTTGGTTGATGAATAAAGCTGTTTCAGCCAATGGATAGGCAGGCTGTAGCCAGGTAGGAAGGATGAATGGGACTACCCAACCTGGGATGATGTTTGTATGAAAGGGTCCTGCTGTAGTCAGGAACATTGAGATCTAAGTGGTGTCTTGGTGACATCTGGGCCATGGCTTCACTGAGTGCCATGACTACATCTGTGATCCTACTGCAGCCAGGGTCTGTGCTGATGTCCTTGGTTCCTATTGCCATTGAAGCCATGTTGATTCCAGTGGTATGGGTAGAAAAATGTGACTGTATTGGTTCTAATGACCACACTGCCACTGAGGCTGCCAATTTAGGTGGCCTTTCACCACTTGGGGCCAGGGTGAGAACCAGACATGGGCTGCTACTGAGAACCATGTCTGGGTCCATTATTCTACCACAGTCTGTTGAAGTCCACATGGAGCCTGATATTTGGGTTGTCTTCTGTGCCCTTGTTGGTGACCAGAGGCCATGCTGCTGCCTGAGCCATCATAATTTTAGGTGCAAGGGCATCTACTGGATACAGTATGTTGTTGCCTGGGGCCATATCTGGGAAAGTTGTCCAGTTGTAGCTAGGATATGTTAATGTCTGAGGCCTGTGTCACATCAGGGGCCCACAGGAACCATATGAAATGAAATCTGATGACCATGCTGAGAAGCCCATCCTTCTCTGAACCAAGGAAAGTCAGCGTAGTCTACTTCTAGACAATGTAGCAACAAAGCTGGGGCTGGCATTTATGTAAAAACTGGCTCCTATGCTCAGAAGAGATGGCTCCACCTGTCACCTCAGGTGAGGATGAACCCCCCCTGAGGACATGGGAATAGGGGAGCTGACACTGCCTCCTTACCTAAGGTGGGTGGCCCCAGTTACCCAGATTGACAAGCTTGGCTACCACCCAGACCCACAACCAGGCCTTGGGTGGGCCCAGGTCCACCCTAATATCAACCCCATCTAGGACCTACAGGAGCTCATGAAGTCCTGTGTAACAATACCTATAGGATCTCCATGACCTAGGGTTCTGGTGAAGATCCAGTGATGATGGTGCACAGAAACTAGAGGAATTCACCAGAGTAGTGACCCATTGCATTTGTTAGTAAACCTGACTGGACAAAAAGGTATATTATAAGATACACAGAGGCTCTCAAAGTCAACAGGACACATGAAAAGGTGGGAAAGAAGGTTTTTTTCCAGATTGTTTGTTTGTTCATTTGCATACTTTGTTTTGTTTTAGTTTGATTTTTAAAATTTTTCTTTTGTCGGGGGAATGATGTAGGTATGAAGGAATGATATGGGGGGAGGAGACACCAGGAGGTGAGTGCAATTGGAGTGCATAACATGAAACTCCCACAGAATCAATCAAGAAGTTAAATTTTAAAAAGGCCAAATCTAAGTATAATAGAAGGAGAAGGAGAATACCAGCTCAAAGACCCAGAATATATATTTTACAAAATCATAGGAGAAAACTTTCCTAAATGAAAAAAGGGTACACCTATCATTATGCAAAAAGGTTGAAGAGCACATAATAGATTGGATAGAGTAAGTCACTCTACCACATAGTAATCAAAGCACTAAACATACAGAACAACAACAACAACAAAGATGAAAAGCTACAAGGGAAAAATAGCAAGTAACATAAAAATGCCAATCTTTTAGAATTATACACTACTTCTTTAAAGCTACAAGGGTATGAAAAGATGTCCTGAAGTCTCTAATATGCCATATATGGCACCCCAGCCAACTATATCCAGCAAAACATTTAATAACTGTAGATGGTCCTCTATAAATATGTTATTGCTGTTAACTTGGTGTTTTGGTGGGAATTTTAACAGCAGGAGTTTGGAACAACTGACATGATAAGATTGTTCTATTTTAATAATTTTTAAATGTGAAGGCTGTCTAGCAACAAGCATGCCATAAAGATAGCTTAGGTAAGATCTTATTGCCACAGGAAAGCTCTTAGATTCCCTGGGTCTTTTTAAACTAGCCATGCCTGTCACAGTAAAAATTCTAAACAATCCTGGTAAAACATTAGAAACATTGTACAATGAAGAGTGACTTACATAAGTAGGTTTTACCCATCCTAGATTGTGCCATATTTTAATAGGCTCATTTCTAAATACTTGAGGCTCTTGCCCATAGCATGTCACTAAATCTCCCCTGTAATCCTGAAATGGACTGACTATAAAAGAGTCAAAATTTCTTTTTCTTGAGTTTCCCATGGATCATGTACTAAAGACAATCTAAATGAAATTGCCAAATAATGAGGGAGACAAAGCCCCTGGCAGACATCTCTTATCACCAAACGTGGCTTAATTTGGTGTCAGGAATGTTAAATCTTATTGAGTAGTTTGTTAAAGGAACACCCTGGGAATCCCCCCCAAAACCCAGGATGTTGCCAAGGCTTCTCTCTATGAACTGATTTCAAGGCCCTATGGCTGAAGATGGCATCTTCCCCAACTCATTGAAAATCAACATGTCAAGATATTTCTCACCAAAGACTTCAAATGAATTAGCTACTGCTCATGGTACTTGAATGTACTTTGTATGCTCCCAAAACTGAAAGGAAAACACTAATCCAATTACAAACCCTTAGATCTATAATGGTCACCTGTTTGAAAAATGTACTAATGAAATAGTGGAAACAAAATCATGAAAGTAACCAAATAATATTTGA